GCCATTCCAGTATTTATCTTATGTTTTACTCTTAGTACTTCTTTGCTATCATGAAAACTTTTTCTTAGTTCAATTGTTTTGAAACATTTAATTTTCTGAATATTGCTTAATCTTAATTTTTGTTCTAAGGTTTATACTGTATCTTTGACTTACAATTCATTTAAAAGACGTTGTATGATATTTTCTCCTAGTATTAGAAACTTTAAAAAGTATATTTCCATTTTCCGTTGACTTTAAAAAAAGAAAAAAACAGAGGTTTGTAAAAAAAAAAAAGTAAGTAAGACAAAGGATTGAGAATTTCAGCTAACCCTGGATGACTTTGAAAACTCTGGTATACAGGAAATAAACAATGAGTTTGTGCCCAACTTGATCTATATGTAGGAAATGGTCCAGAGAAAAGGATGGTTCACAGACCACAATATTTACCTCTGAACAAGGTTCTCGTCATGTCTTTGACCCTTGATCATTCTTGTCTTTCAGTTAGTAATGTAAGTTTTGTTTAGGTATGACAATAAAAAAAGGTAAGTAGCTACTATAAGAAAGACAACTCAAAGTGTAGAGGACTGAATAAGCCAGAAGCTTTTTAAAAGTAACCATGCATGCTGAGTGTCCAAGGCTAATGAAAAAGATTTGGTCCATAAATTTAACTACAGAAAATTTTCACAAGTGGTCAAGGGAATAAGATAAACTTGTCCTTTGAGAAAGTTTCTGGACTTAGAACTGGTGGCTTTTTTAGTTTCATCATCTTCTGGAATATTTTATTTAATTAAATGCCCTAAATAACTCACAGTCATCTTGTTTTTGAAATTCATCAGGAATAAAGAGTAAGAGGAATGGTGTGCAAAACAGATACATCTTTAATAATATGATTATAATGTTGCCTACATTATGTCTACTTGTTGTCCATTGCATTTCCATACTTAGGTGAAAGTAAAGGATAAATATAGCTTGTATATGGATGCCCTTGTACTCAGAAATAAGCATGACACTATTCTTAAAATGAAGAAAGAAATGATATTTGGAGACAGTTTAGTAGTCTATACAATAGCATGGGTTAGTTTCAATTGTGAGTTCATCACTGATGTTCAGTTATTACTGAAGATGTGATAATCCTACCAGTAACTTTTTTTGCTTGTAAATGACAAATGATTTCTCTAGGTAAATACCCAAAAAGAAGAAAGGGCAGGCACAAAATTTGTTTAATAAAAGCATTCCAACTGGAGAAGAGGAATAATAATAAATATAGCATGGAAAATGTATTCTGTATTTGTCACGTGATTCAGGTATTGAAATACTCATTTGTAATTCCTTGTGACAGAAAATAGTGTATGAATGGTAAAATAAAGGTTACCATGAAGTTTCTGAAAAAATGAAAAATCCTATTATGAAGAAAAGTAACATCAAAGGGTCAAAATATGTATTCTTCTCTGCTTCATGTTCAATACACTGAGCGGGTTCCACGGAGTCTGGCCACCCCATCTTTGCCTTGAAGACTGCCAGGGAGACTCAGCAGCACTGGCACTGCACCCTCTTAGCCTTACACTGGAATTCCGCTGAGCCCTGCCAACAGCTCTTGGCCTGAAGAGCGCCAGGTATATGTAACTACCACAGAGACATGCGGGAGACTTTGGGAGCACTGCTCTGAACGAATACATCATGGAGAGAGAAAACATTTGCCTGCACTGATCATCATTGGATCATTTTGAACTGTGGATTGCCCCCCTCTCCTTGATGTGGTGGAATGAACCCCACACAGCAGGAGCTTTAGTGAGACTTCTCTGCCCTCACACTCTCTTGAGAGTCTTGCTGACCTGCAAACCGCCTACCTACCTGCAAAAAATGACAAAAGGAAGGAAGAAAAGGTAATCTCAGTCCTCTAGCCAACCCAAAACAAGTCCAAGAGACAAAGTCACAGAAGAACTTGGAAATTACACACCTGAAATTTCTGAGATAAGAGCAACTGAAGTACAGTAACAACTCCATAAGGTTATGCACAAAATCAGATTAGAAATAATCTCTCACATAAAAAGGAAAATGAAAACAATCATCAAAAAATTGCTTGATATATCTAAGGCAGCCACAGATAAAAAATAGAACAAAATGGAAAAATGATGGATACATTGAATGAACAAATACAGGAAAGAACCAGAATGTATGAAACTGATTCAAACACATATCCAGAACAGTTCCACTGAAAGCTGGCAAAACCACTTGTATGAAAAGATATAATTTCAGAAGTTGAAGTCAGCATTGCAGCTAATGAGCGTGAAAGGAAAAAAACTACTAAAAATAAAAAGGAAGCAAAAATAACAGTGCTACAGCTGCAAGATATTGAAAGGAAAAATAATATATGACTAATAGGTATCAATAAAACACTTGGATACAAAGGACATAAAAGGAGTTTTTGCAGAAGAAGTAGCATAATATTTCACAAGCATGGGGAAAGAATTTTGTATACAGTTACCTGAAACCTATAGAACTCCAGGTAGCCATAATCAAAATAAATCATCACCCAGACATGTAATAATTAAGATCCCAGAAATTGGGCAAAAGAACACAATATTAAAAGCTTTTAGAGAGAATGTACAGATCACCTATAGTGGAAAATCCATCAGAGTCATGACAGATTTCTCAACACAGACAATCAAATCAAGAAGATCTTGGAGTGAGATGATTGAAGTCCTGAAAGAAAAGAACTTAGAACTCAGATCGATGTACCCAACAAAACTATCTACCAAATTTAATGGAGAAATTAGGTACTTCCATTGCAAAGAACCTTGAATAAATTCATGACCACCAAACCAACCCTGCAAAGAGTACTGACAGGTATTGTAGAAAGAGATGAAAATAGGCATGCATGATGGGTCATGCTCTGTGTGCACCAGGTGCCTCAGAGCCGCAGTCATTGGGCTCCAGGCCATTTGCAAGGTAAGATGTTAAAGTACACCCTGGAAAGCCAATGTTCAAACTAGACAACTGCAAAATTCTGTCACAAATGTGTAGAAGCATTTTGGGGAACTGTGCAAACCTTTGCTACTTATGTGTGGAAAACTGCCACACTGCAAGACAAAGCAGACCTCCTGGTGAGTGAAATCAATATGTATACCTCTATGGAAGCCCAAATATAAAGCAAGGCCTGAAAACCTTTGCAGATGAGTTTGCCACACTTTAGAGTTATCGACAGGCAGATGTTGAAAGACTGTTTGAACTTTTGAAAGCCTATGGAGCAATTGCAAAATTGAAGTGGGATGATCTCAAAGGAGCATTAACAGCAAGGAATAGGAAAAGAAACCCACCTGATTGACATGTAATTTCATAGGCAGGGGCTGAATTACACATAACTTCAACAGATGGTACCCAAACAACTCGCCATCTGGAGGAAAATATGGACAATTTGGAAAAGCAGAAAATAAAGAAGATCAGGAGTATATTTTCAGAATTTATCACAATTGAAATGTTATTTCACAGCAAAGCATTATTTTTATTTTATATATTTATTTACTGTTTTGCAGTAATGGGGATTGAACTCAAGATCCTGCATTTGCCAGGCAGTGGTAAAGCTTTAGAGGTCTACACTACTGCCTACGAAAATATACAAAAGATTGATGAAGATAAAGATTTAGAGGTGTTCCAAAATTTCTATATCCACAAGAGTATCCATATCATTTAAATGTTGTCAAAGCAAATTCAAAGTCGCCTCTTGCAGGAGACTGGAAAAGGAGTGTTGTGAGACTGTCCTGCAACAATGTTGTATATGGTTAAATTTCTGCACTTATGTGTAAACATATATAATTCTTTATTCCTATTTTTTAAATATATTTTAATTTTTAAAAATTTTGTCATATTCTGTAGGGACTTAAAGTTTAGCATATCAATACTTGATGAAAAATACCTGTTCCATGTTATGCCTAAGATGTTTGATATTCAGACAGATAGTGAGATTAAGCTCAACAGCCTAGGTTGTAAGGTAATAACAATAAGCTTCTCTTCTGAAGAAGCTTATTGACAACCTAAGTTTGCAGACCAAAATTAGAGAAAAAGGAGAGCTGCAAGAAAAGGAAACATTTTGGCCCTAGTCTTCCAAAATCAGTTAAGAGTCAGGACATTTGAGAACTTGTACTGTAACATCATGTAACTCAATTTTGTCCCAAATTTTCTGATCAAGGAAATTATGGAGCCAAAGGGGAAAGTGATCAATGATGTAGAGTGTGATTAAGGAGAGTCAAATGGAGAGAAAACATTCAGGCTTTCACAGAGAGCAAATTGGTCAAGCAATGGCTGTGACTCATCCACATGAGTCACGGCCTGACACTGACAAAGGATCTACAATCTGAGGTACAGGGTCTCAGGATAAATCCTGAGGGAATATGACTGACCTTATCGGATCAAAAAGCTACAATTCTTGTTACACTGGTCTTGCTTTATCTTGGTTCTAACCATCCAGCTGAAAAGTATAAAAACAAATTAGAAGAAGTAAAGCCATGTTGTTATGTTGAACTGTAGGGGACTCAGGTCAAAATCTTCTGACTTTGCCAGCCAAGCCTAAGACCCAATACTGTTATAGACTACTGGACTATTTTGGAATATTTTGCTGAGTTTGCACCCCTATAATATTTAAATGACAGAACTAAACAAAGAAGGGGATGTGAATGAATGACCATTTTATATTTTTGTATTCAAAATGTTTAGGATAGATATATACATTCTCTTCATTCAATGAACAGAAGGATTTGTTGTAATAATGTTTGTAAATAGAATATCATGTCTGCATTTTGTACAACAAATATCCACTAAGAAGACAGCATGCAATGTGTAAATTATTGGAACTGTCCTACCAATTTGATTTGGAACTATCTCATTTCTATTTATTTCTCAATAATATTATGGAAAAAAAGAATTTGTCAGCTAAAGTAGACCATGTTGTGATTATGGTGTGGCTGTCTGGTGTGTCTGAGCAACAAGAAAGTCAAATAATAAAGAAACTGGGGGGTCTGGGGAGATTGCTCATGGAATAAGCATTTCCCTAGCAAGCTAAAGGGCCTGAGTTCAATCCCTGGTTCCACCAAAAAAATAAAAATAAAAAAATAAAAGAGAATGGGTATAGAGAGTAGCGACATTGCTGTGACTGCATCAGATCATGCATTTAGGGGCCTCTGGAATTGGTTATCTGAAAGAGTTTGGAAAAGTTTGAATATGTGAGCTAGTGAAGGTATGGAATGCATTAATAAGAGCTGGATAAGTGATTTTGCTCAATGCTTAGAAGTGCAAAATGCTGTTAAGATTGTGCACAGTGGGCTGGAGAGATGGCTCAGTGGTCTAAAGCACCTACTTAGAACAAGCTTAGCAAAAGCATCAGGG